TTCAAACTTCATTAGAGTGTAAGCTAAAAATCAAACCCTAAGCCCCACAACTGAATAAATGGACCCCCTCTTGGCCAAGGGGACCTCAGAGAAACTTAAAAACTGGGTTTTCCACCATAAAGGGATAGGGGGTCAGACATGTCTCTTTATACACCCTCTCTTTTGCAGCTTAGAAACAACCACTGACCAGCATTAATGTTAAAATAAAGACCATAAGACTGACAAAGGAGACTTTTTGTGGCAATCAGCTACCAATAACAAACAGGACCTAGGGCCGTGCCAGACAAGGGCTAAGTTATGAACCCCCTGCATACGTGTCACACACACACACACACACACACTCACACACTTAAAGAACAAGCTACCTTCTAACTACCACGAGGCTTCTCACTCAGCAACTTCTAGTAGTATCCCACTGTCCCCATGCTTCCATGCTTTTGCCTGCAATACCCGAAGCTGTTTCATCCCACTACTCAACCTTGGGAGCAAATCCTACTCATATTTCAAGATTCAGCTCAGGGGTCCCTTCTCCAGAAAAATCTTCTCTGTTTTTCCCACTTCCTCTCCTCCTATTTCCAGGGCTTGGGTAGATTCAATTAGCCATTTATTCAATCAACAATATCTTTACTGACTGCTTACTGTTTGCTCAGCACTGGCATATATTAGGCACTCTATTATGTGTTGAATAAATAAATGCAGACATAGCAATTAGTTAAAAGAAAGACAAAGTCCTGGCTTTCACAAAAGTGAGAATTCTCACAAGACTATAAGTAACATGGCTCTATAAAAGACTTCGCATTTTTAAACATTATTTTAAATGTATCTTTCTTCCACATTTTATTCCTCAAGGACAGGATTTTGTCTTTCATTTATAGATCATTAGTACCTAACAAAGTATTTTTCATACAGTAAGCATTCAATAAAACATTTGTCCAAAGAGTAATGAAACTATCTCACATGTACATTTATAAACTCCAGAATATTGAAGTAAATATTGCTGTAAGTAAACTGAGACTTATTTTAACATTTAGATTTAAAAAGAAAATACTACATAGTTCTGTGATAACAAGAAATACGTGGCTCATGACTATGATCCCAACACTCTGGGAGACCAAGGCAGAAGGATCACTTGAGCCAGGAGTTCAAGATCCATAGCAAGACTTTGTCTCTACTTAAATTTTTTTAAATAATAAAAAAATTAAAAATTAAAAAAAATCTAACATTAAACCAGCATAATGTAACCAGACATGAAAAAAGAATGAGTCAACATTTTAAATGGCATTTTAAAAAGAAAATATAATTGCAAAGTCAGAAAAACCAACCTACTACTCTTCAATTTCAAAAAGAGATCTAATGACAGCAAATATGAGATTACACATATAAGATCTTTAAAACACACGTATAATCAAGTTGCATTAACTTTACAAATTCCTTGGTCCTGTCCTTTTAATCAGTCTTCATTCTCTACAGAGATGCTTTACTGCTCCTAAGAAGCATATTTTGAATATGAGCTGCTTTTAGCATTTTCATGCAGGTAAAATCATTATCAGTAGACTGCCTCTTCCAAAGCCTCTGGATAAAGTCAACTGATTAAAATGCTGGCACCGCTCAGTGCTGAGTAGAGGAAGGGGCTGGTACTCTTCCAAAATCTAGAGTGGGATTAACAGCTTCCCCGGCTAAAGCAATTCTTCCAAAGGGGAAAGTTTTGATCTGATCCTATTTTAAAACTTCAACAACAGGGCCATCGTGACTTTGGCCTTCAAAGAGCTTCAATAAAGCTAGCTGCTAAAACAACTGTGGGAAGAAAAAGCCGGGACTCACATCTAAGGAGACAGAAACCTAAATGTCAACTGTTAGTGGGCCAGAAAGATGCAGGGGGTGTGAGGTAAGCGGTGGGAATCGTTTTCTTTCACAGCCCCAACATCACATCAGCTCCCCTGCCTTCACCCCCGTTCTCCTGAAAGACAACTTTTTAATTACTTCATATGTCTGAAACCCAATCTTTACTTTCCTGCAGGCTGCAACATTTGAGTTCTAAATAAAGAGGAACCGAGCAATGGCTGGCCATCACTCAAAGAGTCTCACGTCTTATAATTAAGAATGGCAGCAATACAGGCCCTCCACACACAGGGGCGCAATGCTAACCTCCTTGGGGTGACTTCCACATCAATTATGGGTACTGAAGATGCCACCTCTCCAGCTGGGGACCGAGGAACTAACATATAACAGCAGGCTTGTGAATGCTGTCCAGACCACACAGTACTGGTTTGGAGGGTGGTGGGATGCATAATCTAAAGCCTTAAAGCATGTATAAAATACAAACATACGGGGAAGGCAGGGAGAACTTTATACCTCTAAACATTAATGACAGATGACAGAATTAGAGTAATACTGATTTTCTTTGTAATTTTTATATTTTCCAAATGTTCTATATTTTTGTATTAATTTAAGAATTAGTAGAAAACTCAGTGAAATACAACCATTAAAATGCGACCACACAAAAACATATTTATTGATATAAAAACTTTTACCACACGGCCTAAATGTTTTAATGTGAAGGTTATTGTAAGAGTTATATAAAACTGTATATACTACTATCTATGTTCGGAGAAACATAGTTATACATATGAAATCAAATGTTTTATACCAACTTCATGGGAAGGAAATAGGAATAGAAAAACAATGAACCAAAATGTTAACAGTAATTATCTCTGAATTGTGGTGCACTGAGGGGTTTTAGTATCTCTCTGTATTTATTTTCTAATCTTTACCCCATAAATATGTATGTCTTCCATAATAACAAATAACAACAACAATAAAGAGAGAAATCTGGCAAACAAATTGGGAATTACCCAGTAACTAAATGCCACAGGCAGCCATGTTGCTGTGGCCATGGCAGACCAAGCAAATGTCTGGGCAGGAAGGGACTCTTTGAATCAGCTGTCATCCTATGGCATAAATTTTACATTTATTCCCTAAGTGCTCTGAGGCTCTGTTTGGCCAATATTACAACAGATGCTGAAATACAGGAGTTGTGAGTAAATAAAGACAGACAATAGACAAGATTCATTAGGTAAAAACGAGAGATCGGACTGCAGATATGCTCTTCCAATCAAAATATGTTGCTTAATATCTTATGTTGAATAACAAATCTTTTGATACTTTCGCATTTTTTTGTGAAAACTTGTTCTATGTCTAAGCCGAGCGTGTGTATACATTTGATGAGTTTTTTGAGTTTTTGAATCTTGCTTGTCTCCATGAACCAAGAGAACAAGGCAGTATGTCCAAATTCAGGCAAAAAGAGGTAGAGAAAGGGTGTTTCAAAGATAAGATTCAAAAGGGTAAAAGCTGGGAGGCAAAGGGAAATACCAACCAATGTATTCTTCTGCCCGCTGGAAACTAAGAATTGTGCTGCACCTGTCTCAAACATGAGTGCTATTAACCCCCTCCACTACACTCCTATTCCAAATTCCAAATTTGATGTCTTTACTATGCATGGAAATGACCTTTCAACCACCCACTGACCTGACATTTTTTCCTCAAAAAGCCTTCAGCTTAGAGGTACAACAGATGTAATTTTCAGTTGAATTACTCAAAACTTACTGTCTTTAATTCTGAAATTATTCCCCTTTCCCAATGACTGACTTTGCTTCCACCTCTCTTATTCCTTTAGTTCCATTGAATGCATGTACTGTTCTCAGGGCAGCTGCCAGTCAGTCCACTGACATTTCTTTCTTAGTCTACCACCTCTATTCTGGCTTCACTATTTGCCCATGCAGCCTGGACCCCAGATATGTCACTGAAGAAACTGATTCATTATACATGGACTTCCTTTCATGTTCTTTATTTGCAGCTAGTCATGGGTTAACCTTTCAAAGAAATGACCAAGGTAAAGAATGGGAGAGACTAGAAATTGGCCCTTTTCTTATTAAGTTTTCATGTTTCCCAGTTGCCTATGCGACTAGGAAAATCCCCCTCACTCTTGCATTCAAAGTTCTCTACTCCATGGTCCCATTTTCCCTGTCCAGTAAGTTCCCAACTGTGCTCCAATGAAGACAAAAAGTTCCAAGAAGTTACATCTGGGTTTCTAGGAAGGCTGAAGTAGGAGCTAAGCAGTCAACACTCCAGGTTTTAACCAGAGCAGCTCCACTTTTATCTATTAAATAACAATAAGAAATTGCTTAGTCAATTATCTTGAATACAAAAGACAGAATAGTATCAGCCATTAAAGGCTACATTTCAGAAAAATGTTCAGTGACACAGGAAAATGTTCATGAGGCTTAACACCATATATAGCATTCTCTAAACTCTTCAATATGTAAAAAGCCCAGGAAAAAAATAATCTGGAGGAAAACACACACCAGCGTAAATCATGGTTATATCAGAAAGACAGACAGATTGATGGGTGCCTTTTAAACTTTCTTCTATCTATTAATAATCCTTTCAAAGACAACAACAACAACAAAAACATGTCTATGTAATCTTTAAAAAGATTAAAAAAATATTTTTCTTTAAAAAAATTCTGTTAGAAAAGACTGTTCCCCAAAGCTCTGGCTCTACTTTTCCTCTTCCCTAAACCCCAGAGAATGGCTGATCAAACCTTACTCACCTATGCCAGAGTTTTCCAGACTAACATCTGGTAGCTGCCAGCAACGAGAGAAAGAAACCTAGATTGCTGACCCCTGCGGTTTGAAAGGCAATAAAACTAAAGGCAAAGGGGAAAAAAAGCAAACAGACCACAATCCTTCAGGCATGAAACATGTGTGTATGTCTGTGTGTTGGTCTTTACTTCAACACTTCCGGAGTTACCTGCCTTTAATGTCCTTGATGGTTAAACCTAAACTGCATGCTACTTGTAAAAGGCAAAAATCAAAATCTGAGCAAAGAGAACATGAATCATATGATCAACACTAAAAGCTGGCACACAGCACTTCGCGTTTCCCAAGCATCAGAGATTTCCTTGTAGGCAAGAAAATTTCTCCTACATTTTTAATACTCACCAGGTGCTTTGCCTTAGCGCGTTCCTCCTCACTTGATATCCTCTCCCGAAGGATGGCTCTGGTTAACTGCTCATTGGCAGCAGCCCTCTCTTGGTCTAGCTCTCTGGCTTGCTTTAGTCTGAAGTGATAAGAATTGTCTAAGTTAGAAAAAGTATTTTATTAGTTGACATTATTTTCTATCAAATGAAATAATTAAAAAATAGAAACATATAGCCAAAAGGGTCAACAGCTGAAATCATCTTGGCCCATAATCTATCAAAAAAGCAGGTAAAGAAGTAAATCCCCATGCAGCCTCCACCCAAGCATTTAAAATAACTAAATTCAAATACATGAAGAAGCTTATTAATTTGGCAAACATAACTAAGTTTACAAAGGTCTTCTTATATAAAATTAAAATCTGCTCACCAAAAAAAAAAAAAAAAATATCCATCCCGGGTGCTTCTGTTTGGCCTCCGGAAATTTAAGTAATTAAAAAACCATTTAGGCCAGGAGCAGTAGCTCACACCTGTAATCCCAACACTTTGGGAGGGCAAGGCGGGTGGATCCCTTGAGGTCAGGAGTTCGAGACCTGCCTGGCCAACATAGTGAAACCCCATCTCTACTAAAAATACAAAAATTAGCTAGGCATGGTGGTGTATGCCTATAATCCCAGCAACTTTGGAGGCTGAGGCAGGAGGACTGCTTGATCCTGGGAGGTGGCGGTTGCAGTGATCTGAGATCACGCCACTGCACTCTAGCCTGGCAACAGAGCAAGACTCCATCTCAAAAAAACAACAAAAAAAAGCCATCTACATGACAAATATTTGAAGGTAACCATCACCTGTTTCTCCAGACGTATCTGTTTACTGAATGCACACCAGGCACTGTGCTAGGTATCGAGGACATAGTGATAAACAAAATGGACAGGTCACTGTTCTTGCAGCTGTTACATCACAGCAGAGAAGGCAGCCATTAGGGAACAAATGAGGACAGCTTTCCTCCCAGTATGTTACCCCTATTTTCCAACAATCTTCATAGGCAAATATGGCCACATCTTTCAACTGCAGGGCTTCTCACTTCTGGGATGACTTCAAACATCTGTTAGCTCCAAACTAAACCTAACACTCCAGACATGGTCTAGCAAAATAAGACAGGAGAACCTGGATCTGTACACAATACTAATTCTATTAATGAAGCATAAGATTGCATTAGATTTGTCAGCAGCCTCACCACACAATTAGATCATATTCAGTTACAAACCACTAAAACCCCTCATTGTACATGATAAAGATAAATTACTTCGGCACTGATTTTTGCCATAGTGCCTGCCACATAGAGGCATTCAGCAATCACCAAATCACTGAACATTTCAGTCTAATCTCATGGACAAAGATTTTCTGATCACCTTTTCTTCTTTGAGAGAATAACCCCACTATGCCAGCATATTCCTGAAGGTATAAGCTATGCTTTAAAAAAGAAAGGTAAAATTGTCATGTTGGTGTAAGTGAAATTCTGAGTGAAATCTACTTTATACATGCAAATGATGAGCACCAAATTCTACTCAGTACTAGCCTATCAAGTTTTAGCTTTAGAAAGCTTTCTGAAAAAACCCAGAGATAAAAATTTTTGTTGCTATTTTTAAATTGCTACATCATCCTGATACTCCGGAATTCTCAGAAATCAATTACAAAAAAAAAAAAAAAAATCACCTTGCAAGATATATTCCAAAGTTACAATGCTCTTCCCCTAAAAATCAAAACTTTGTAGCTTTGTGTCTTAAATAAAAAAAGAGGAATAGAAACAAATTAAAATCTGTACTTCCAAATTCTCTCATGCAAAAGTAACCTTTGGGAAACTTCCTAAGCAGTAAGCATAATGACACTCATACAAATCAAATTTCTCTAAATTATTTCACAAGGACCATACAATAAAATCAGCAATATCAATGATATCAATACATTAACTCCACTGGGTATGTGTAATTGTAAGAGAACAGCAATAATTAGAAGTCACACCACTTCCCTAGAACAGCAGTTCTAAAAGTACAGTCCACAAACCAGCTGCAGTAGCATCAGCTGGGAGCTTGTTAGAAATGCAGCTTCTCAGATACCACCGCGCACTTGCTGAATCAGAAACTCTAGGGATAGTGTCTAGCAAACTATCTTTTCATAAGCCCTCCAGAATTCTGATGCATGCTGAGGTTTGAGACCACAGCCCTTAATTACCAAAATGTACTTTTCCTCAAATAAATCCTGGAGATAAATGAAAGTAACATCAAAAATGAAGTGGTCCACATGAGAATATTGTGCAAATAACTGCTGAGGTTATCATATCAGATTACAACACTGTGTATTTAAAGCATTTTTATGGACATCTTACCTATAAGTAAAAAAGCATTACCTATTTTTACATGTGAGGTGGAAACAAAATCATTTGTGGATCAACTACTATGGCCAAGCACTACGCTAGGTACTTTACATACATATATAAATTGTTCATTAAAATGCTATTAGTTCACGAACATAAAATGAATTCTGTACAGCTAGATTATCACATCTACCACATTTGGTATATCTAATTTTAAAGTACTATTTATTTTAACAATTACTACAATTTTTTTCCATTTTAGTTTACTTGGTATGACTTAGATCTTAATTACATATGGTGTGCTACATGCTTCAACTTTAAGAAAGACAGGATCATAAGGATTTTGGCAAGTTAGAAAAGCAAAACATGAGCCCAAAAGCCTTCAACGTGATAATAAAAATAAACACATTTAGCTTGTCATGACTGGTACAGATAAGCAAACTCTGGGTCCAAAACAAGGCTCTGTACTTACTATCTAAGTACTTTATCTAACCTCCACGAGTCCTGTTATTCTCATGAGTAAAATGAATTAGTGTAATACTCCCTTACAGGATTCTATACAAACAAGGATCGTGGAGCAATGTCCATAACATAACATACACTCAACAATGTTAGGTAAGTAGCAGTAATAACAGTACCCACTATGAGGGTAGGAATACAAAGAAAGCAGTGATTTTCCAAAATGAAGGAGACCATCTCCAAATTCACTAACTACAACATCGTTTCCATCGTCTTTTCCAATTCTTCACCAGTAAGTTCTGCTTTATTTTTATAATCTCTAAGGACTTCTAAGATCACAAATTGACTCTTCTCACTCCAGCAGCCCTTCCCTTTCACAAGCCGCTTCCTTTCCCTCTTGTCCATAGCTCCGTAAGGACAAAGATTTGGCCTCCTTTTGTTCACTGCTATATCCCCAGTACTTATAAGAGCCTGCCACATACTAAGCCCGCAAGAAAAACTTGTTGATGTATGCATGTATAAATGAATGAATGAATGAACGAATGAATAAATGGCATATTTCCAACCACAAACAAAAAAAAAAGGAAAAAAAAAAAAAACAAAAGGCTATAGTATATAAGAAACAACTAGAGAGACAAACTGTATCCTCCAACGGCCTAGCCACCATGTTAGATGTGACACATACGTGATATAATCCCAGGCTACACTAAATCACCTACAACAGGAGGTGCCACCACAGTCTAGAGTCCCCGCAACATCAACACCAAACTCTATTTGACACCTGGACTGAAGGAGGATTGGCAGTGGCACAAACTGACTAAAAAGAATATTATTATCCTTTCTTAATAAATTCATATACTTTCATTCATCCTTACAAATACAACTGCACAAATTCTCAAATGTTTTTAAAGGAATGTCTACAAATTTTAAGAAAAACCTGTTTTTAAGGTTTGCACAGTGACTGTTTAAGAAACCACATTTTTTGTCATCAGGGAGTTTGTCAGGACTCTGAACAAATTCTTACTTGCTATCAACAACTTACCTGTACAACCTAACAAGCCTCCATATAAACATTTTTAAAACTCTATACCTTAAACATATTATTCCGCATTCCACAAAAATTCTTGAAAAAGGTGGTGGCAGGGGATAAATGAAAGAGAGGGGTATTATATTATCTCCCAGGCTGATACTGTTATAATTTCTACTTGATGGGCACATGTACTTCTACTGTAATCCTGAGATCTCCTACTACAGTACTCAACAAAAACTGTACACTGGAATTCATAAACTTATTCAGTATATAATTATTAGGTGAGAGGGCTACTCTGGTTACTGAGAATAAAGTAGTGAGCAAGAGACACAGTCCCCACCTTCATGGGTCTTGGTTACAAATAACAGATGCGTTATTTTGAAAAAGTTAGGTGGGTATCTATGACACTGAATGGGTGGGACTGGTATTTAACTCAAGCTCTACAGGACATTAACTGAGCAACATGGGGAAGGAGAAAGTGTCTTAGGCAGAGGAAACACCAGTTGGGTCCAGAAGCACCAAGAAAGGATTTCCTTCAGTTAGATTCCTGTGACAGCCTTAGAAGGGTCTCTAAGGCTCGAAATCACCTCTGCAAAAATTTTACTTGCTTTCAAATTCTTTTGGACGACAGAGCTTCAATGGTATACTGACTGAGGTTCAGTTCTGTCCTGTGTCCAAAGATTAGAAGCTTCCAAGTTGTACCATTTCCCATTTATTGCAATAGATTTGAAACTTCAAAATTGTGCTGTTCCCCATTTCCCCAATCCTCCCCTCCAAAATATTACACGGCAATTATTTTCTTCTAAGTTTCCTCTTTCACTGATTCCTATAAATCCTTTAATGAGCTACAACGACTTTGCAAAGAAAAACTGCTTATGTTATCAGAAGTCCCCAATTCTTTTCAAAGTTTCCTCTCTGGCCCCTAGGTTTTATATCACATAGAGCTATGCTATTCAACGGCCATCTGCAAAGAGTAGATGCCCATGTAGCTGTCAACCAATTTTTCTCTTTTTGAACCAAATGAGACAGCCCTGCCATCTGGGCCTCTCTGAATACTACTGCCCAGATAGTGAAGCTATAAAATCAGAAGCCATGTTGTTTGGGAAACACTTCACTAAGGAGAGAAGCCCAAGGCTCTCACTGATAAGGGAACACTGGACTTTACATGTAAAGGCAGGACATAAAGTAAGTCTTTCATTATTAACTTGGGTTTCCAAAGATTTAAGAATTATCTCAAAACAAAACTAAACATGCCAAGTATCTTACAGAACACATCCCTTTTT